AGGAAGATAAAATCAGCCTGGAGAAGAAGGCTAGCAATGGCTGGCAGCCATTTATGGCTATCCAAGCGACTGGATCCCGATAAGATGTTACCTTTGTGGTTGGAGGCAGTGATGCTTCTGAATGTCAGTTGCTGGAAACCACAGGAGCAGAGAATGATCCTTTGCTTACTGATTGCAGGTTTCCCATAATGGGCATCTGGTTGGCCACTGTGAGAACAGGACTAGATGGGCCATTGATCTACTGTAGCAGGCTCTTCTTATGTTCTTACATAAGAAGCACTCTGAAAATGCTCAGAGGTACTCTCTTGGTGCTGGAGGAGTCCTATGGACTGCAAGAAGATCAAACATGTCCATTCTTAAGGAAATCAGCCCTGAGTGCTCACTGGAAGGTCAGATCGTGAAGCTGAGACTCCAATACTTTGGCCACCTCATGAGAAGAGAAGACTCCCTGGAAAAGACCCTGATGTTGGGAAAGATGGAGGGCACAAGGAGAAGGGGACGACAGAGGATGAGATGGTTGGATAGTGTTCTCGAAGCTACCAGCATGAGTTTGACTAAACTGCGGGAGGCAGTGGAAGACAGAAGTGCCTGGCATGCTCTGGTCCATGGGGTCACGAAGAGTTGGACACGACTAAACGACTAAACAACAACAACATTCTCTTGTTCCAGAGCTAAGACCTGCTTCAGAAGAAGCCCTGATTTTCTTCTCTGACCCCACCCCCAGCCTCGTCTCACTGCTCTGATCTCTGCCTCCTTCTCTTGGGAAATGGCAAGCCTTGCAGTCTTAATCCAGCCCCACCGTTGATTGGCAGGAGCTGAAGTCCATGCTGGGAGCACTTAAGTCTGCAATGTCCTCCCAAAGAGCTATGCTGAAAGCCCAAACCACTCTACGCTGATAGCTATGGGCCCCATTGTAATGCAAGAACCAGCACAAAGGGATGGGCGAGGTGTGACAGAGAAGGAAGCCTGTTTTTCTCTCCCTGTTGGGAGGCAACTGATATTAGCAATAAAATAAAGCCAAGCTGCGGCTGGAAAGCCTATCGGATCCATCAGGCTCAGCATCTGTCAGGGAGGAGGGAAGAAACTGAACATTATTGTGGAGGCTTGGCAGGCTTGTTCCTCTCCCTGGCGGTGAAGGGGGGCAGCAGGGAGAAAAGAGTGAGATAAAATACACCTGTAGAAGCACGCACGCACGCACACAGAGTGCCGTGCTGGGTGTACAACAGGAGGCAAAGGCATTGTTGCCGAAATGGAAATGTGTCCCTTTGTTGATGAGCTTGTATCTCCTTCCCATTGTCTCGCTCGCCATCCACCTTTGATGGCCCCCGTGTTTGTGCATCAGCTATGAAATTGCTTTAGAAGACAAAAGGGAGCGTGTGTTTATCGATAACAAAAAAAAAGAGAGGGAGAGGCATAGGAGGCCGGGGCAGACGGGCTGCTTCTGTCTCTTTCTCTCTTCCTTTCTTTAACCTGCCACACTGCATGAACATAATTTTCTGGGAGCAGCTGTCAAAGGCTTACAGAGCAAATTGGAAGGCCGGGCCCACCCCTTGTGCTGGTGGTGGACAGAGAGCTTTGCAGGTCCCTTCCGCGGCTAATGTAACCATCTGGCCTCATTTAACAGGCCTACTTAGCTTCAAATGGATAAAGATCCTTCAGGCCATTTGCTCTCCTACCAAATTATTGGCTTCCGTTAGCAGTGGGGAGGGGGTGCTTTTTTCCACCAACCCCTTTCTCTTTTCATGCTGCGATCCCATTATCTTGGGTACCGAGCTGCAGTCATTCGAGAGAGAGATAGAGAGAGATGGTCTGTTATGGAAAGCTTATAAGATGGGCTTTTGATCTTCCCTCAGGGCATCGTGTAGGTCCTGCTTTTAGCCTGCAATCCTCGGTTCTACTCAGACCCACTGGAATGAATGGACTTGAGTTAGCTGTGCCTATTAACTTCAGTGGGTCTGTTCTGAGTAGGACTAGCATTGGATGTAGCCCATGGTCTCTGGGAGAGTGTCCCATAGGTCATAGGATGCTTTTGATCTCTCCCTGTCTCTTTCCAGAGAGGGATGGTAGACCCTTCAAGACGGAGACATGGCCTTGTGAGGTGCCTCACAGATGCCATTGGAACCTTTGCAAATCATCCCTTACATCAGAGCTTGGACTTTTACTTTTATAAGTGAGCAGGTTGTAGGGGGTGGGTGGGATGAGTGGATGAATCTGTCAATTTTGACTTCTCTTGGTTTCTGGTGTTTCCATATATATCTATGTCCATGTCTGCAAATTTGCAGATATAGCATATAGAAATAAACAGGAGAATAAAAAACATTGCCAACTGTCAATAAAAATGCCACATAAATCCTAATTTATATAATTGATATAAGCAGTCCATATGTCCATATAGGGAGCCAACCAAGATTGAAGATTATAAGGCACGTGTTCAAATGTAGAAAGGGCAGTGAGATCTTCAGAAATACAGAGCTGTAGATGGTGGATGTTCGTCCTACCAGCCTTGCAAAATAAATCCCTTAGACACCATAAGGACAGGCAGAATCCATTTTTGTTTTCCATCTGTTAGTCCCCACGACACTGGGATATAATTTAAGAGTGTGTGAATATCCGCAAATATCAAGGACTTTTCCGAGACAAAACCAATAGCAACAATAACTTCTGACCAGGAAGAAGACACCATGGGACATACTGTATCTGCACCATATTCATCAAAGAGGAGTTTTCATCATTACATCATCAGCATCTATTGGAACTAACCAAGTTCTTCCTATAAAGGTTCTATGGGGTCTTTTTTTTTTAATGTACACTTTACCCCATTACCCTATTTTTGCACACATTATTTGATCCGAGAACTGCATTGCAAAATTCAGAGAAGTGCAAATTTCAAATGATGTTTCAGTTCGTTGGTTGGTTGGTTCGGGAAGTGTTGGCTCACCATTAAATGTCAACTGAATCAAATTTCTCTCCCATCCCTATCAATCTGCTGGGTGAAGATGTGGGTCCATAGGACGTGCCCCTGAAATAAGGGGCAAACTATGCCAGTCTTGGTGCTGGCACAGGCCACATTCACACAAAACCTTTGAAATACCATGATCCCACTGTAAGCATCAATAGCTTCCCCTAAAGAATCATGGGAACTGTAGTTAAGGGTGCTGAGAATTGTTCAGAGACCCTTCTTCCCAGAACTACAATTCCCCAAGTGGTTTAATCATGAAGCCCTCTTTCCAAGGAACTCTGGGAATTGCAGCTCTGGGAAGGGAATAGGGGTCTCCCAACAACTCTAGGCACCCTTAACAAACTACAGCTCCCAGGATTCTTTGGGAGAAGCCATGAGTGTGTAAAGTGCTGTGTTGCTCCTTTAAATGTATGATGTGAAGAGGGGCCATAGTCTATTTCCCTCCAGCAACATCCAGAGGGCACCATGTTGGCTACCCCAGATACTGTGAATCTTGCGACTTCCCCTCCTTCTCCCCATGTCTCCCCACCCAACAAAAAGACAAGGAATGGATTCCACCCTGCCGTACGTCTTTGCGTTCCCCTTTCCCCTCTCATTAGCTAATAGCGGCTTTAATAGAAGTGACTCTTTTCTTCACCTCTCCTCCCTCAGATGAAAAGTTTAATCGCACAGCCAGCTCCTTTATCTCCGCAATAAAGAAATGGTTGTGGTGTGGTGTGGTGTGTGTGTGTGTGTTCTTATAGTCGACAGACAGCTCAGACCAAGCTGTCAATTTCACACAGGGCCTTATCAGCCCTCGCACATGGTGTAAGCCTGTCAGAAACGAGATGCGGGATCTGAATGTCGAACGTACGGGGTTAAATGCTTTCTCTCTCTCCACCCACCCAGCCCAACAACCCTGTCTGCTCCTCCCTTCCACACACTCTGATTACACAGCTGACAGTAATTTTTTTAAAAAAAGGAGAGAGAGAACACAGTCTTTTTGCCCAGCCCTCTTCGGCTAAAACACATTAATTTATTGTAGCTGGCTCTTTATTTGATTATCGTTTTATTAAAACTGCCCGGGGTGATAACATTTCAGCTGGAACAAATCCTTAGCTCCTTCTCTTAATCTATTACCAACACAATTTATTTCCAGGCTAAAAGGAGGAGGAGGAGGAAAGATGTGGAGGGGGCTGTCTGCAGCTAAAGATAGACCTTTCGTCACTGGATGGATGGGCTTCAGCGAGAGGAGAAGGCAAGAAGAGTCCTGTTGGGTGGAAGAGACTCACGTCTGGCTTCTGGATAACCTATAGTGGATGGCCAGGCAGGTGCCTCCAGGAAAACCACAAGTAGCCATGGTATCTAGTTGAACGTTGTGGGTGGCAGGATGCTCTCAGCTAGATGAAGAAGAAGAGTTTGGATTTGATATCCTGCTTTATCACTACCCGAAGGAGTCTCAAAGTGGCTAACATTCTCCTTTCCCTTCCTCCCCCACAACAAACACTCTGTGAGGTGAGTGGGGCTGAGAGACTTCAAAGAAGTGTGACTAGCCCAAGGTCACCCAGCAGCTGCATGTGGAGGAGCGGAGAATCAAACCCGGTTCACCAGATTACGAGTCTACTGCTCTTAACCACTATACCACACTAGCTCTAGTGTGTGCCAGCAGGGCTGTTCTTAAGAACCTAAGGAAAAGTCCTGAAAGTTCAGGCCAAAAGGCTATCAAATCCATCATTCAACCCTGCAGGGGCCAACTGAATGCCCCATGGGAAGACCACAAGGAGGACAGGAGTGCCATTACCCTTTCCCACGCATGTTCTCCAGCCACTGGCATGCTCCCTCTCATACAGGAGGTGATAAAGCCACAATGACTAGTAGTGATGGGTAGCCTTATCTCCCTGTATTTCTCTAGCCTGGTCCCCTTTTACTGCCATCGTATCTACTGGACATAGGCAGCTGCTTTACACTGAGTCAGACTATTGGCTCATCCAGATCAGTATTGCCTACACTGACTGGCAGCAGCTCTCCAGGGTTCCTCCCAGAGTCTCTCCCAGCTCTATCTTGGAGACACCAGGGATTGAACCCTGACCTTCTGCATGCAAAGCAGATGCTCTGCCACCAACTTATGGTCCTTCCCCAAAATGTTAAGTAAGGTGCTAGTCCTAATGATCCCAAATAAAGAGGTAATTTAAATAGGAACAGAGGAGGCTGCCTTTTTCTCATTCAGGCCAATGGTTCCATCTGGCTCAGTATTGTCTACACTGACTGGCAGCAGCTCTCCAGGGTTTCAGGCAAGAGTCTTTGCCAGCCCTACCTAGTGATGCTGGGATTGAACAGGAGACCTACTACATGCAAAGCAGATGTTCTATTACTGAACAATGGCCCTTCCCCAAGTTGGCTGTCCAAGTTGGTGGCCATCACTACATCTGAAATCTGTGAGTATAGTAAGGTATATAAATATAATAATAATAACAATAGTAATAATAATAATAATACATCTAGTGGTAGCCGATCCCATCATTTAACTGGGTGCTTTGTATTTCCTTTTGCCTGTCCTGAATCTCCCAACTTTCATTTTCTCTGGACCATCCCGTTGGGTTCTAGTGTTATGAAAGAGGGAAAGAAAACTCCATCATTCTCTCTCTCTCTCGCCAGTTTATCCGCACCACACATTTTCTGCACATCTATTTTGCGTCTTTTTTTCCTCCCTAAGCAAAATAGCACCAAGGGTTTTAACCATGTTTCTTAGGGGAGTTGCTCCAGTTCATTTGGGTTGCATCCCCCCTCTTCTCTTACGAATGCAAGATGGAAGCCTGCTCCCCATTTTAATTCAGGAAACCAGCATGCATCGGGGACTCAATGTCTGGGAAAGGTCTCTCTGGGCTCCCCTCTCTCTTTGGTGACACCCTGTCCCTTCCCACACCTGCTGCCCAGGTCTCTTCCTCAACCCGTCTCCATGCAGCTAGGAAGACCTTTACGGAGGCAGTAGCTTGTTATAGACTGCAGTGTCTGACACATAAAAGTCAGAGGCAACATCGAGGAGCGATTAATGATAATGGCTGACATTTTATACGGTGCCTTATAGCCCGGAGCATCGCAGGGACTCTTTACAAACCATGCACAGACATAGCCAAACATTTCGTTCAGCCCCAGAACAGCAGTCAAAGTGGCACGTATGAAACTTGGATGCCACTTAATAGTCTGTAGTGACACTGCCTAAGAACCTAGGAAGGAAGGAGGGAGAGGGCTCAGGATAAACTCCTTGTGCAACTCCATCAACCTCTCAGTGCATTTTTTCTGCTGGTTAATCATAATCATAATCATAATCGTTTATTATTTATACCCCACCCATCTGGCTGGTTTTCCCCAGCCACTTTGGGCGGCTTCCAACAGAACATTAAAATACAATAATCTATTAAACATTAAAAGCTTCCCTAAACAGGGCTGCCTTCAGATGTCTTCTAAAAGTCTGGTAGTTGTTGTTCTCTTTGACATCTGGTGGGAGGGCGTTCCACAGGGCAGATGCCACTACCAAGAAGGCCCTCTGCGTGGTTCCCTGTAACTTGGCTTCTCGCAGCGAGGGAACCGCCAGAAGGCCCTCAGCACTGGACCTCAGTATCTGGGTAGAATGATGGGGGTGGAGATGCTCCTTCAGGCATACTGGACCGAGGCCGGTTTACAGATTTCTGTGCAATTTTGACTAATATGCACAGTTTTGCAAGGCAGTTTTTGTTGGAAAACAAGCCTCAACGGGAGAGGCTGGCCCCTCTCCCTGCTCCCGGAGCTTGTTTACCGGTGACCTCCCTGGCTGGCTTCCCCGCAAGTCCAGGGTAGATCTTGATAGGCGACATTTCCCAGTGTGGAAAATGCACACCCCCTGCTCCCCCTTCGCAGGGGAAAGAAGAATAGTCAGAAAGTCCTTTTACATCATGTTTATTTCTGACCGTACAGCTCTACAAGAAAACATGTCCAATCACTTCAGTCTCCTTCAAGCAAGTGGAAAAGACTTCCTTTACAAAAGCAACAGGAAGGTCTCATATTACACACTGAACACAGCTTTGTGAAGCCTGTGAACTTCCGGGAAGATTCTTTCCCACAGCTAGTCACATCACATGATGTCAACAAGCTGGCTGTTTGCAGCTGCGTTGTTCTCATATCGTAACAGTTTTATCTAACATAATACATTCTGTGTTCTTTATTTCACTGTACCTGTATCTATATGCATGATTTACCCTATATGCATTTTTACTAGAACCACGGAACTGTAGAGTTGAAAGGTACCGTATTTTTTGCTCTATAAGACTCACTTTTTCCCTCCTAAAAAGTAAAGGGAAATGTGTGTGTGTCTTATGGAGCGAATGCAGGCTGCACAACTATCCCAGAAGCCAGAACAGCAAGAGGGATTGCTGCTTTCACTGCGCAGCGATCCCTCTTGCTGTTCTGGCTTCTGAGATTCAGAATATTTTTTTTCTTGTTTTCCTCCTCCAAAAACTAGGTGCGTCTTGTGGTCTGGTGCGTCTTATAGAGCGAAAAATACGGTACATCAAGGGTCATCTAGTCCAACCCCGCCCCCCTGCAATGCAAGAAGCATAGCTAAAGAATCCCTGAGAGATGGCCGTCCAACCTCTTTTATTACTGTACAATGACCCTGCAGGGTTGTCACAAGGGGGGGAAAGGTAGAGAACCATGCATATGCATTGAGGTCCTGGGAGGAAAGGTGGGGGTATAAACATAATAATAAAATAAAAAATAAAGTACTTGAATGGCAAGCTGCATTGCAAAATTCAGGGAAGTGCAAATTTCAAAGGGTGGCTGTGATTCAGTTGCTGTATTGTTTTGAAAAGTGAAAACTAGGGAGGATTGCTTTTAAATGTGAGCTGAATTGAATTTCTTCCCCTTCCCAACCTGGGAGTAAGTCCCATGTAGCTCAGCACAGCTAACTTCTGAATAGACATGCGTAGGATTCCAATTTATCAGGTTATGATAAAGTCAGACTGTATTTCAGAATGATACAAAAATGAATGGACCTAACTGAGTGATCATCTATGCTTCAGGAAAGCACACAGTCAAATTTCTGACCTTTGCCAAATTCATCCGATTTTCAACATTTGCAGAAATTTACATACCTCAACATTTTCCTCCTTTCGCACTGAGTTGTCTTGACATTCAAAAGTTTCAGAACTTTGTCCTTCCAGAGTCGGGTGTTAGTTTGTTTGTTTACCTTGCTTCCCTTTCATCATACAGCACGTAGCTGAAACAATCACTGAGGATTTCACACTGCATTGCTTTTCCATGCCATTTCAGATTTTAGCAAGGGCCAAAAACTGTCTGAGAGATGCAGATCTGCAGAATAGCTCCATTTGGATGGTTACTTTCCGTGCTATCTATTGCTCATGGCATGGATTTCAAAGTGTGAACCACAAAGCTCAGGGCCCATGGCTAGCCATGAATTTAGCAAGCCGTTGCATTAAACGTGTGTTGAGGCCTCAGATCTCTCTTCAGGCTTAGGATGCAAATCAAGAGTGTGCAATATTGGCCTCCATGCTTTGCAGGCATCTTCGACTAGGTCATGATGTCACTGATGGCAAGTGAGAGCAATTGATTATGCCACTGAGGACAAGTGAGGGCAATGTAATGAATAAGGAAACATTTTCGCATGGAGTGCTGGGGGAATCACCAATAAGGAAAAGGGGGTTTTCAGCACTACAGAAAACGTTCATGGAGAAAACAAAAGCAGCCTCGACTCATCTTGGCTCCTCTAATTTTGATAACTGCTGCCTTCAACAAGCTGGCCATTCTCAGCTGACAATAATTCTGTGGCAGGGAATAAGTGTAGGGAAATAAAGAGACAAAAGTGCTTTGACGATTCATGCAATATTCATTCAGAATCATTTGTACATGATTCTGTTTTTTATATAGATATATATATTAAAAGATACATTCCATAAAACAGAGCTGCGAGGCTTAATTTGCTTCAGGCAAGGAATGGCATTTGGGACGTTACGGGTATTAGTACTCTGGTATATGAAGGGAAGACGAGGAGTTTAATTATGATTCAGTGTGGCTGGGTGTGGGTATGGTTTAAAGGCACTTAATTAGCACCGAAATGTAAGGCTGTGATTATCTTGAAATATGTCCCAATTAACCTATGGAGAGCCCATGCAAGCTGCTTGGGAAAGTTGGATATATTAATAGTCTATTAATGTAACAGGCTTAACTGCCTGTCATGCAAGCGTTTAGGAACAAGCAAACAGGCTCAGCTTCCTGACATGAACAAAATATAGGAGAGATTTTTCTCTTATAGGCATAATGGTTGAGTCTGATGCACAGGTTAAGCCGTTGTTTTGTGGTACACCAGGTACAGTTTGCTGGATTCAGTTTGCTTCCATGGTGCCTTAAGCTCCAGTCTGCCAAATCGCTCTTTCACTTTGACCAGGAGAAACCTTCCTGCTTTGATCTCCAATCCATGGCTGGGGCCACCACAAAGCAGGATGGATGCATTCATTTGAAGCAGCGGATTTTGTAGCACACAAAGCCAGCAACTCACACACATTTAACTTGTGCACATTCATCTTCATGTGCTTGGCAAAATAAATAAAACATAAATAAAAAGGGAGTGGAAAGGGGGCGGGCATCCAGGAAGAAAGACTTTGGCAATGCCAACCACCATTGCACCCAATGTGATTTGACCATATGGAATTTTGGCTTTGGGCATGATCCCCAGAACATAACCCCCATGTATGCTGAGGGCTTACTGTACCATTAGAGCAGTGGTGGGCCTGGTTTTAAAAGCCCTCTGTTGACAATCAGTTCAGACCAGTGGCAAGAGTCATCTGTCCCTCCACACAGGGAGGAAGAAGAAGAGGAAGAAGAGTTTGGATTTGATAGCCTGCTTTATCACTACCCGAAGGAGTCTCAAAGCGGCTAACATTCTCCTTTCCCTTCCTCCCCCATAACAAACACTCTGTGAGGTGAGTGGGGCTGAGAGACTTCAGAGAAGTGTGACCAAGGTCACCCAGCAGCTGCATGTGGAGGAGCAGAGACACGAACCCGGTTCACCAGATTACGAGTCCACCACTCTTAACCACTACACCACACTGGATCTCAGTGTGAGGAGAGGAGAGGGCGAGAGGGAG